TGCATCATAATAGATCACCTTTCACAGACATAATAGATCAGCCTCAGTTTGATGGATGCAAATAACCTATAGCACTGGTACACCAGCTAGTTCGTACCCAGTGTGCTGCTGATGGTGTCTTCAGCTTTTCTCCAAGCAAATCAGTTGGAAATAAATTTACACAGGCAGCCTTAAATACTTTTAGGAATATTTCTCTGGTATGTGTACCTAGAAATTCAATTGCTGTTTTCAAGGTCTATGCACTTATATTTGTATAGTTACTGCAAAATTTCATTTTAAAATTTTGAAAACCGTTGTCTCAAATTACTCCCATCAACAGTATAGAAGGTTGCTGCTTTCCCTCTGACAATCACTGCCTAACATCCCTTGTTTTAACTTAAAAATTGATAATCTGGTGATCAATCACAAACTTTTTTTTGTTTTTGACCTATGACAGGGAGAAATTGAATGAAACAACACAGGCCTGCTTTGGAGGGAGGTAGCCGCAAGGTTCAGTTAATTTAAAAATATTAAAATGCTAATTTTAAAATACTATAAAAATTGTTCAGCTTTTTTCTCCCTAGCATATTATTTTGGTATATTGAAATCCTTCCGATGATCTGCAAATCTACAATGATCGTCTATGCTGTTTGGATATGTCCTGCTTTTAGATTCAGAATAGTGACCCGTGTACTTTATGGTAACTAACATTTTAAACATTGCATTGAAGAACTTAAAACCAACTCCAAATTTGCGTTATACATGGCAGAGCTCAACGTAAGAACTTCCTGTTTTATCAGCTTCTAAACTTTCCTTGGTTTTTAAGATTAAATACTACATACAGTTTAACAAAATTGAACCTTTTGGAGTTTTGACATTTTTTTTTTTTTTTTTGTAAAGGACATGGAGTAGAGGGAGTAAGGAGTCAGATAAATGAGTATTTGTGGATCCGACATGCCAGGCAACAGTTCATAAAATATTCCCTAGGAGCAGGAGGTGGAGGGTCACCGGTGGAAGAAAGATCCTCCCTTCATGTGTGAGGAGCCTGTTCCTGCTGGGGACTCTGCAGGTCAGAGTTCTGCGCGTTTACAAAGGCAGCATTGGTCGTGGGAGAGGTGCAGTTCCAGGTCCCTGTCTGTGTCACTCGGGCACACCACTGAGCTTAGACTGGGAACCCCAGCTTTATCTCTGAAAATGAGGGCTGTCGTTACTACCCTGCCTTCCCTGCTAGCGTGTATTGAAAATCCAAAGAACACTATGTATGACAGCACTTTTCAAATTGGAAAGACCTATACGATGGAAAGTTGTCCAAACTGTAATTAATGTCAACATGGAAAGGAAATTGAACAAAAATGAAGTTATTGTATGAAAAGCTTTATAACATATACATTTAGGTTAGTTCCACACTCATTTTTTCAATGGTTTATTTGAATTGCTGTTTCTTAGGTAAAGCATGCAAAAAACATTCGGGTTTGTCTGGATTTGATTTATTTCTGTCAGATTGAAAATGTCTTGTTTGTAGCAGTTTCTGGTGGGGAGAGTTTTGAGTTCTGGAGGCTGTCTCTGAGATGCTGTCCTGGCTTCTCCAAGGCCTGCTGGGTGAAGCACTTGCCTTCGGGTCGTGCCTGTGGGCCAGTGTGTCTGTGGTTCTGTCCATAGCTGGGTGCAGGACAAGGGCAGGGACAGGGAAAGGAACCCCTCCGGGGAGGCCGGACCTCCGTTTCCGGAAAGTGTCTGCAGGCCAAAGAAAACAGGCAGTGCCCAAATCACATCTTTGGGTTATTGCTTCATGAGCTGTCATGGTAACACATTGCACGGGGCCAGCCCCTGTGCTTGGCTCGAGTGACTGAGAGATGGGTGACGTGACCTGGGAGGCCCCTTCCAGTCTGTGTTTTCAGCAGTGAGGGAGTTTGAGCTGACTGAAACTACACTTGACATCGGGCGAGGCTGCTGCTCAGTGAGGTGCAGCAGGCATGTCTGTGCCACGCCAGGGCATGGGAGCCTTGACCTCTGGGGACGGGAGGCGCCATGGGGCCGGGGCAAGGGCCTGAGTGGAATCCTGGCCTGCACGCTTTACTCCGGGGTCCAGAGTTCGTGTTCTTCTGAACTCTGCAGGACGAGTGACTCACTGAGCATTTATTGACGGCTACTTGTGTCAGACCACCTGGGGGTGCTGGCCGCAGAGCCGTTCACAGAACAGTATCTGTGCACTCACAGGGTTGACACTTGAACGTGTGGGCCAAGATGACTTTGAAAAAGGACATGTAAACATGCCACATGGTGCTAAAGTCTTTGTGGAAAAGTAAAGCAGGAAGAAATGAGGGCCTGAGGTGTGTGCCTGTCAGGGTGAACGTGTGTATGCATGTGTGTGAGTGCGTGAGATTGTGCTGTGCATGCGTCTGTGTGTGCATATGTGGTGTGCTGTGGAGAGTGTGTATGTGTGTGGGTGTGTACATGTATGTGTGTGGTGTGTACATGTACTTGTGCCTGTGATTGTGGTGTGCTGTAGTGTGTGGTGTGTGTATATGTAGGTATGTGTGTGTATGAATGTGTGATGTGTGTATATGAGTGTGATTATGTGGTGTGTGTGCATGTGTATGTCAGTGTATGTGTGGGTTATACATGCGTGTATGTGTATGTGTTGTGGAATGTGTGTGTATGTGAGTGTGAGTGCATGTGTGAGATTGCAGTGTGCCGTGGAGTGCATGTGTATGTGTGTGGGGTGCTGTGGAGTGTGTGTGCATGTGTATGTTTGTGTGTAATGTGCAGTGTGCATGGTGCGCTGTGGGGTGTGTATGCATGTGTGAGTGTGGTGTGCTATGGTGTGTGTGTGTGATGTGCTGTGGTGTGCTGTGGAGTGTGTGTGTGCATGTGTATATAAGTGTGTGTGATATGCTGTGTATATGTGTGTGTGTATGATATGCTGTGTATATGTGATATGTGTGTGCATGTGTATATAAGTGTGTGTGGGTGTGATATGCTGTGTATATGTGATGTGTGTGCATGTGTATATGTGTGTGTGGTGTGCCGTGGTTGTGTGTGTGCATGTGTATATAAGTGTGTGTGAGTGTGATATGCTGTGTATATGTGTATGTGTGATATGCTGTGGATGTGATATGTGTGTGCATGTGTGTGTGTTATGCTGTGTATATGTGTGTGATATGCTGTGTATATGTGATATGTGTCTGCGTGTGGTGTGCTGCAGTGTATGTGTGTGATGTGCCGTGGTTGTGTGTGCATGTGTATATAAGTGTGTGTGGGTGTGATATGCTGTGTATATAAGTGTGTATGTATATGCTGTGTATATGTGATGTGTGTGCATGTGTATATTTGTGTGGTGTGCTGCAGTGTATTGTGATGTGCCGTGGTTGTGTGTGCATGTGTATATAAGTGTGTGTGGGTGTGATATGCTGTGTATATAAGTGTGTATGTATATGCTGTGTATATGTGATATGTGTGTGCATGTGTATATTTGTGTGGTGTGCTGCAGTGTATGTGTGTGATGTGCCGTGGTTGTGTGTGCATGTGTATATAAGTGTGTGTGGGTGTGATATGCTGTGTATATAAGTGTGTGTGATATGCTGTGTATATGTGAGATGTGTGTGCATGTGTATATATGTGTGTGTGAGATATGCTGTGTATATGTGATATGTGTGTGCATGTGTATATGTGTGTGTGGGTGTGATATGCTGTGTATGTGTGTGTGATATGCTGTGTATATGTGATACGTGTGTGCATGTGTATATGTGTGTGTGGTGTGCCATGGTTGTGTGTGCATGTGTATATAAGTGTGGGTGTGATATGCTGTGTATGTGTGTGATATGCTGTGTATATGTGATACGTGTGTGCATGTGTATATATGTGTGTGTGATATGCTGTGTATAGGTGATATGTGTGTGCAGGTGTATATTTGTGTGGTGTGCTGCAGTGTGTGTGATATGTGCCGTGGTTGTGTGTGCATGTGTATATAAGTGTGGGTGTGATATGCTGTGTATGTGTGTGTGATATGCTGTGTATATGTGATATGTGTGTGCATGTGTATATATGTGTGTGTGATATGCTGTGTATAGGTGATATGTGTGTGCAGGTGTATATTTGTGTGGTGTGCTGCAGTGTATGTGTGTGATGTGCCGTGGTTGTGTGTGCATGTGTATATAAGTGTGGGTGTGATATGCTGTGTATGTGTGTGTGATATGCTGTGTATATGTGATACGTGTGTGCATGTGTATATATGTGTGTGTGATATGCTGTGTATAGGTGATGTGTGTGCAGGTGTATATTTGTGTGGTGTGCTGCAGTGTGTGTGATGTGCCGTGGTTGTGTGTGCATGTGTATATAAGTGTGGGTGTGATATGCTGTGTATGTGTGTGTGATATGCTGTGTATATGTGATACGTGTGTGCATGTGTATATATGTGTGTGTGATATGCTGTGTATAGGTGATATGTGTGTGCAGGTGTATATTTGTGTGGTGTGCTGCAGTGTATGTGTGTGATGTGCCGTGGTTGTGTGTGCATGCATGTGTGTGGCGAGGCCTGAAGCAGCCGAGGCCGTGGGAGGGTCTGGAGAGGCAGCCTTGCCGCCAGCGTGCGTTTCTTAGACGGGGCGCGGTGCGTTCTGGGAACGCTGGGGGCGGGGTGGCGCGGGGGCCGACGGGAGACGGGGGAGAGGCCGCAGTGGGAGGTGGTGGATAAAGCTGGGTTCCTGGTTCCGGCGCCTGGAGGGCCGGGGGAAGCCCTAGGAGAAGGAAAGGGTGCGCTCTTCAGAGGCAGACGCTGGTGGGAGGCAGGGCCGGGGGCCTTCCTCTGGCGGGGGCCGCATGCCGGGCAGGCTGGGGGTGACCGCGGCCTGTGTGAGGTCGTCACGCTGCTGTGAAGAACTGAGACGGGGCAACCGACGCGGGAAAGGGGTTTCGTTGGCTCCCAGCGCGCAGGCCGGACTCGGAGGCCTCGGGAAACTCCGTCGTGGCGGAAAAAGGCGGTCACGTGGCGGGAGAGCGCGAGCCCCGGAGAAGGTAAACAACCCGAGGACGCACTATGGCGAGCGGCGTGGGGGGAGGGGGAAACGGCCGCCACGATCCAGGAACCTCCCACCCGGCCCCTCGCAGTTTGGGTGTGGGTGAGATTTGGGTGGGGACCCGGAGCCAAGCCCTGTGAGTGCCGGACGCGGCCGGGCTGCACTTTGCCGTGGAGGACTCTGAGGGTAGACGGGGTGAGCCGTGGGGGGGGCGCACGGGGAGAATCACAGCCTTGGCTGGGGTGGAGGGGAGCGGGGCTGTGCCGGGTCCAGGGCAGCGAAGCCGGATGAACACGGGAGAGCCTGGGGGTCTCAGGCTGGCTGGTGCCGGGCTCTGGAGCCCCGAGCAGGGCGTCTGAGAGCAGAATGTCGGTTCGCAAGGCCTGGGCAATGACCAGGAGCAAGGCACATCCTCGGGAAGATAAGAGCGGGGGCCATAGGGCAGGAAGGACCCTGGAAGGACCAGACTTGTGGGTGCAAAGAATGGACAGGAAGCAGGGCCTTGGGGTCAGGAGGAGCCGCAGGGAAGGCGGAACGGTGGCCAAGCGTTGGGGAATCAGCTGCGGAACCCACAGAGCGCGAGATTCCCTTGGATTGGAGAGGGCAGCCCGTCTGCAGGCAACCGGGAAAAGCGAGGTGGACGTGCTGCCTGCAGTCCCTATGGTATAGACACTTTGGGAAGAGGGTGCAGGCTGCTGTGTCCTCTGTGGGGAGCACACCAGAGGCTTCTTGTCCACATTCTGAGTCTAGTCTCTAGGGCAGCCTGGCATTAGCATGGTTCAGTCACCTCCCCAGGTGACTCTAGGGTACAGCCGGGGTCCATAGCCCTGGAACTAGACTCAGAGTTGAAGGCAGTTCCGAGACATGTGTTTGCACAGGACTCTACCGTGTGTGACCGTAGTAGCAGCCCCTGCCAGGCCTCAGGGTGGGAGGGGGAGAGAGGCTCTTGGATTGGAGACCCCCGAGGATAGGGCACAGTGGCAGATCATGCAAGAAGGCTGTGGACATGTGGAGGGAGGACATCTTGCCAGGAGGGCAAACACTCGTCTGCTTTCTGCCTCTGTGCATTTGTTCGTTCTGAATATTGCATGTGAATGAAATCCTATGCCATGTGGCTTCCCTCTTGTGACTGGCTTCTTTCACTCAGCATCATATTCTGAAAGATCATCCATGCTGTACCCCGTGTCAGTACTTCATTCCTTTTCATGGCTTCATAGTATTCCACTGTATGGATATGCCACATTGTGTGTGTCCATTCATCTGTTGATGGACGTTTTAGTTGTTTTCACCTTTTGGCCGTTTTAAATAGAACTGCTGTGAACATCAGTGTACAAGTTTTTGTTTGAACACCTGTTTTTTCAGTTCTTTCGTGTATAGACAGGTAGTCCCTGACTTAAGATTTTTTGACTTTACAATGGAGGGAAAGCACTACACACTCAGTAGAAACTGTACTTTTGAGTACCCATGTAACCATTCTGTTTTTCACTTTCAATAAATTACATGTGATATTCAACACTTTATTATAAAGTAGGTTTTATGTTAGATTATTTTGCCCAACTATAGGCTAATAAAGTGCTCTGAGCATGTTTAAGGTAGGCTAGACTAAGCTATGATGTTTGGTAGGTTAGTTGTGTTAAATGCATATTTTGCTTACAGTATTTTCAGCATATGGTGGGTTATCAGTAGGTGACCCCAGTGTAAGCTGAGCAGCACCTGCGTTTAGGAGTGGAATTGTGGGTCATATGGGAATTCTATGTTTCACTGATTGAGAGACTGCCAAAGTGTTTTCTATAGCAGCTGCAGCATTTTACAGTTCCACCAACAACCCATGAGGGTTCCGATTCCTCCACATCCTCTACAACACTTATTTAATTTTAGTTTCGTGGTCATCCTAGTGGCTGTAGAGGTGGTATGTGATTGTGTTTTTGATTTGCATTTTACTAATGAATCTAGGATGTCTTTCTATTTATTTGTGTTTTAAAAAAAGTTTCAACATTTGATAATTTTCAGTATACAAGACTTGTACTTCTTTGGCTAAAATTATTTGCGAAGTATTTTTGACTCTATTGTAAATGAAATAGTTTTCCTACTTTTGCTTATTGCTAGTGTGTTTCCTCTTCAGGCTTTTTATTGCTGGCATATGAAATCGGTGCAACTGATTTTTGATGAGTTGATTTTGTATCCTGCAACACTGCTGAATTTGTCTATTAGCTCTAACTGTGGGTGTGTTCTTATATTTTGTACATATGAGGGCATATGATATGTAAGCAAAGATAGTTTTATTTCTTCCTTTAAAATTTAGATGCCTTTTACTTATTTTTCTTGCCTGATTGCTCTGGCTGGAACTTCCTATAAAATGTTGCAAAAGAGGGCATACTTGTCTGGTTCCTGCTCTTAAGGGAGAAAGGGTGCAGTCTTGTCATTGAGTATGATGTCAGCTGCAGATTTCTCATACATACTTTTTATCATGTTGGGGAAGTTCTGTTTCTAGTTTATTGAGTTAATTTTTCATCAACAGATACTGTATTTTGTGAGTTCCTTTTATGTATCAATTGATCATTTTTTTCCTCTTCATTCTGTTAATGTGATGTATTGCATTAATTTTTGTATATTGAATGACTGTTGCGTTTCTGGGATAAATCCCACTTGATCATGACATGTAATCCCTTAAATGCTCCTGGATTCAGTTTGCTAGCATTGTGTTAAAGATTTTTGCATATATATTCATAGGGGATATTGTTCTGTAGTTTTCTTTTCTTGCGATGTCTTTGCCTGGCTTTGTAATGATGACCTCATAGAAAGAGAAGTTTCCTTCTCTCCTATTTTTGGAAGAGTTTGAGAAGGACTGGTGTTGATTCTTCGTTAAATAGTTGGTAGGATTCCCAGAAAAGCTATCTGATCGTGGGCTTTTCTTTGCTGGAAAGTTTTGATCACCGATTCAACCTCGTTGCTTGCTCTAGATCTGTTCAGATTTTCCATTTTCTTTGTGAGTCAGTTCCCTGCAAACGTCTTTCCAGGGAAACCCCTGTCAGGTCGAAACCAACAAACGTGATTCCTTGGGTGTAAGATCCACTCTGCTGTTTCCAGAAATGTCCACGTGGAAACTCGGCCTGCCGTATTCCAGACGGCTGCTGCACTGTGTCGCGGGGCAGAGCTACTACAAGCTGAAGTTCTGCAGTGTTCTCCTGCCCGGTTTCAGTGGCACATATTCCTTGGTTATTACCCCGTGACGGTCTTTCAGCATGCTGGTAAGGTTGATTCTGCCAGCTTTTGTCAAGTTTTCCAGCATTTCTTAGCAGGAACACCTCAGAGGTCCCTGCCTCACCACTTTTGCTGATGTCACACCTATTAAGTAAACTTTTCTTACACACTCGCGGTTTTATGAAACGATACTTCTTTTACTGTGGAGTTTAAAGATTCTCACCATTTTCTTCTCTCACCTGACCCTCTGATGTCCCATTCACCCCGGGCTTCTGTGTCTGGATCACACCAGCCATGTCCTTCTGTTATGACTTGGTTTACTAGTTTTTGACTTCCTTTCTGACAGAACTGGGGAATCTTTAGGGGGGATGGTCTCCCAGATTTGAGTCTTATAAATAATGTTTCTTTGTGTGCGTGCATTTCCAAATAAATGCAACTGAGGCAGGGCGTGTCTTTCACATTTTATTTCTCTGTTGTCTTATTTTTATGTGTCCATGTTCATCTCTCTGCTCTCCTCTCCCACTGTCTGAGACCTCACTGTGTAGCCCTGCCTGCCTTGGACGGTGGTTTGCTGTCAGGTAGCTGCTGTGTAAGGACCCACAGCACTCACACCTAATGGTTGTTCCTGTGTCTACAGCAACCAGCAGATGCTCTGGAGGCTCCATGTGGTGCTGTCCCGGGCTGCCGTGCAGCTGACCGTGCTTAATCTCGGGTGATTTAGTGCTGGAGAAAACAACAGGCAGGCCGGCCACTGAAAAATAGATGTGCTTATCAAATACTTGTTTTCTTTGTGTGCAAGTTGAATTACGGAGTTTTCAGAACAGGAAGGGCAGGACCTTTGAGATGACTTGCTCAATGTCTTCGTTTTACAAAATTAGGGAATTAAATTCACAAAAATCCATCAAGCAGCAGCTCTCTCCCTCCCAGGAGAGCATCCACCCTGCAGCCCCACATAATTGCCAGGATCTCCATCCACACGGTCTTCTCCTTGGGTTTTCACTAGACCTGGCCTGGCAGCTGAGTTTGTAGATTCCTGCATGGCGCAGTCAAAGGAAACTGAGAAGGGGCCTCGTTCTCTAATGTGTGTTCCTGGCACACATCCCCAATCTGAACCCTACCCCATGGACTCCTCTAGACAGGCAGCCATTGGGATGAGAGAGAAGATCGCCTCTGGAACGGGTGGTCACTCAGAGAGTGCCTGAGCATTGTGTCCCTGGCACCTGGGGCTTGAAGCCAGCGAGGAAAGGAGTGTAAAATGAGAAGGGAACAGACCAGTGTCACATGTGGCTGGATTGGTGAGGTGGAGGCAGGAAAGCTGTGATGAAGTGGAGGGCTGTAGCCAGGCTGATTCAGCCACAGTCTGGCTCTGACACTGTGTGACAGTGGGCAGACCCTCACATGCCCTCCTCCTTGGTTTTCCCGTCTGTGCAATGGTGGTGATGATGATAATAGTCAGGAGTCCTGAGAAAAGCGTATGAAGCACTGAACAGTCCACTGGTGCTCTCTGAGAGTCAACTGTCATGACATTGTAAGTACTATTTGTTATGAGCTGCTAAGCCCTGTGGCTCCCTGCTGGAGTCGAGCACTCTGCTGTTCATATACACAAGGTCCAGTCCTGAGTGTGCGTTCTCTTGACCTCTAATGTTGATCCTCTGTTGGACATACAGAAAGATTGTGCATGGTCGTAGTTTTGATGTTTTTGTAAAAAGAAAGGCCCTTAAAATTTTTATTTTTAAAAATTTTAGAAAAATAACAGGCTGGAAAATTTTGGCAACAATATTTGGGCACTCAAGATAGAAACCCAATTTCCAGTGTGGTGGATGCTCTGTATGTCAAAGAGTGACATAAAGAGCCCCCAAAAAGGAACTTCAGAAGGCATTGACACTATTGCACCTTTTTAAATATCAAGGTCACTTCAGCATGTAAATGGCCTCATGCCATACTTCATGCTGGGAGGCACACAGCACAGTGGCTCACAGTTTGGTCAGAATACCTGGTTTCAAAGACAGTGCCATGGGACACCTTCTCAGCCCCATGACCCTGCACTTAAAAACTAAAGATGGTAATAGCAATATTAGTCCTCCTGCCGCTGTTCTATCACCTGACGTTGGTTTTATGCATGCAGATCACATTGCACAGTCTTTGGCACATGGGAGACACACAGTTACCCATAGTGGCTGTGAGTGTTTACTCCATACAGCCCGCAGACCTGTATTAAGCTGGCTGCTTCCATGAGTCCCATCCTGGGTTCTGTGCCAAGGACTCAGGTGCTTGCCTTTTCCATTTTAGAGTGAAGGCCGCAGCAGTCAAGCCTTCAGAAGCTGCAGGGGTGAGCATTATTTCCTCATTACTCCTTTGGAGACCAGGGTCCAGAGAGCCTGAGGGCATCGTCCAAGGCATTTGGGGTGATGAGGGTTTCCAGATGAGGACTTTCAGGCTCTGCAGCTTTTTACTGCACCAGCTGCCTTCTTAAAAAGTTGTCTGCCTCCATGTTTGCAGTGTGCTTAGTCTAGAAAGCAGCGTCTCCCAGTCTCAGCCCCAGATAATAGATGATCTTGGTTTAATGTGTTTGGAGTGTGGCCGTACAGATGGGATTGACCTTCCTGGATTCTAAGAAAAGCTTCTGGGCCTAAGGAGGCCCAGATTCCTGGGACTCAGGAAACGTAAGTAGAGGGAAGCAGTTCTGCAGGGAGCAGGGAGAGCCTTCCCTCGGAACTGGGCCTGAGAGCAGTTATGTCACGTTGTGTTTATGCTGCACTCAAAAGATTTTTTTTTCTGGTTACAGAAAGATATTTATTGTTGAAATTTAAAAATATAGAAAAGCACAAGGAAGAAAAAATCCTAGATATTACCATTTACATTTTAGTATGTAGTTTTCCCAATATACACATTATGACAACACACATACACAAAATTTACACAGAAAATAGCATTTTTCTAGCCTATTTTATATATAAGACACATCACAATTATCTGTGTCTACACCATGGTTTCTTTTCTTTACAGCTATGCCTCAAAGTTCTGCCTCAGTCTCTAAGCCTAATACGCTGTCCACCCTCTGAGAGGCAGCATCTCTGCAATTGAACAGGGCTGGATTGTCACCACGTTGATGTCTCCCATTGTCAGTTTTCTAAAAAAAATCACATTTCAGTAACAAATTCCACAAGGTCTTTGGACTTAGACTGTCTTGTCACCGTCATGTCAGCAGCGAACGGCTCAGGCCCCTGTGTGGCTGACTCTTGGCAAACTCTGTTGAGTGAAGGCATTTATATGGTTGTTTTGGCAAAAGTGCCTGGATTACAGAACTTTGCTATGGTATAAGAATTGGTAAATGCGTATGCAGACACACACATGCTTCTGTGATGATAAAGGAGAGTTCGGGAAATCAAGACACACCCCATCTACTTTCTTGAGACAGGTGTGGGAAACACACGGTTTCTCATCACAGTGATTTCCCGTGGGTAGGTCTCTGTCTCCATGTAGATGCTGGCGAGTGTGCTGGAAGGTGTGGTATCTCACAGCGAACTCCTTCCTCGTGGCATCACATGTGGTTGTCTCTCATAATTTAATTATTTGTAAAATTGTCCCACAATTTTTATAACTGAGTGTATACTCATCACTTTCTAGCAGAGAATGATGCCACAGCATGGGAGAGGAGACAAGTATCATCTGCTCCCCATTCTCTCACTGAACTTAGGTTTTTCTGTTGGGATGTTTTGCTTCAAGCAGCGAGAGACTGGGAATTTAGTGTCCTCCCAGCGGAGCGGAGCGCAGGAGGAGAGACCTGGTCTGGGAAGCACGTGCCTTCCTCCTGGCTCTGCCTGTTCTGACTTCCTCTTCCTCACCAACCCCAGTTTTCAGACATGGACGCCTGATCCCTTCTCTGCATGCAGAAACTGAGCTCCTCCTGGCTGCAGGATTTCCCTCAGGACCCTCCTTCCCTTCCTGGGCACCCACGACAACTCTCCCATTTCCAGCAGTTCAGCCCAACCTGGATTGTCGCATCTCATCAACAGCCACCATATGGTCAGCCTGGCAGGCTGCAGATCCTTGCATTCGGAAATGCTCCAGTTCATCACGTACAGTTCCCAGCAAAATAGAGCCAGTCAGCTCATACTAACTCATGACAAATTGTTCTTTCACGATTCACAGTGGGCACCATCACACAGAGCCGGCTCCTGGTTTCCGCGTGTCTTTTCCTCGTGTTTGTCATTTAGCTTAGCAAATATTTATTGAGCACAACTGCGTAGGGGCTCCAGGCTCAGCACTGCTGAGCATCCTGAGTGGAATCAGAGCAAGTCTCTGCCGCTCAGAAGCATCTAGTGCAGTAAAGGGGTGAAACATGTCCACAGATATCTGGGCAGCCAGATGAATCATTGTGCCTCTGCTGTGTTTTGCAGATCAGAGACAACTGTATCTTCCAGCAGAGAGATGATTCGCTAATTGCTCACCTTTGTTTGTGCTCACAGCTCATTCATCTTTGGTCTTTGAAGCCAGGGCTGCTGAGCTGGAAACTCAAATTGTCTTAGGACAAGGATCTCTGCACAAGGCATGAAATTGGAACCAGCATTTACCTTCTCATTGTCAGTAGCTCTGTGTAGCTACTTTTTTTAGTAGCTCATTTCATTTTTGTATCTTCCGGGAGGGACCAATAACTATAAGATACTAACTTCTGTTTGCATGTTTTTCAAATCTGGAACCAGTTTCCAATAATTAATACATTCACACTGGGTCAGAAAAGGGACAAGTTTTGGATCCTGTCCACCTTCTTTTTGCACTTGTTACTGTTTTTCTATTGCTGATGTGTCCAGCTCTACATGAAAGCACTTGGGAACCACACAAATGTGTTTCTTTTCTTTTTCTTTTCTTTTCTTTTTTCTTTTTCTTTTTGAGAACAAGTCTCACTCTGTTGCTCAAGACTGGAGTCCAGTGGCCCGATCTCGGCTCACTGCAACCTCTGCCTTCTGGGTTCAAGCAATACTCCTGCCTCAGCCTCCCAAGTAGCTGGGATTAAAGGAACGTGCCACCATACCTGGCTTTTTTTTTTTTTTGTATTTTTAGTAGAGACAGGGTTTCACCATGTTTGCCAGGCCGGTCTCAGACTCCTGACCTCAGGTGATCCTCCTTGCTTTGGCCTCCCAAAGTGCTGGGGTTACAGGTGTGAGCCACCGCGCCCGACCTTGAATGCGTTTCTAGTGTCAGTTCCTTCTACCAGACTTTGAGCTCTGGTGGGCAGATACTTGGAGATGCTGTCCTGCCGCCTGGCATGTAAGAAATGGAAGGGCAGAGGCAGCTGCCCAGAAAGGCTGCAGATGCTTTAAGGCAAGAGTGTGGGTTCCTGGGGACCCTGGGCACTTGGGGCTTAGAAAGACCGACCTGTTTTTCTGGGATTAGGAAGAAAGAGTATCTTCCCTGTAGACACAGCTCACCTCATTCACAACTTTTCCTGAGGCATGGAAAAATTTTAGTTATTTTTACTTCTCTCCTTCCCTCCTTCCTTCCCTCCTTCCTTCCCTCCCTCTTTTACTTCCTTTCTTTTTTCTCTCTCTTTTTCTTTCTTTCTTTCTTTCTCCTTATCTCTCCTTCCTTTTGCCAACACCTCCCAATCATTTTTGTCTTTCAGGATTGCAGCTTTAATTATAATATTCTCTAAATTTTCTGTTCACCCTACCGCAGAGATACTTAACTGGCGCGATTCTGTCTCCCACCTACCCAGTCCCCACTGCGAAGACTTTGGCAGTGACTGCAGGTGTTCTGCTGCTGCAGCCGTGGGGAGGTGTGCTACTGGCAGTGAGTGGGTCAAGGCCAGGCAGGCCACTCAGCAGCCTCAATATGCAGGAAAGGTCCCTCCCTAAGGATTATCTGGCCCAAAATGTCATACCGTCAAGGATTTGAGAAATGCTGCCCTGGAGAATAAGGATATCCACGATAAATTACATTATGATAATATTGTGAGCCTGCTGTCATTATTAGCTAATTTTTTTTCTTCTTAAATCTATTATCCTTTTTTTAAATCAGATGTGTTATAAGAAGAGAAGGAATTAAAAGAAAAAAGAAAGAAACTGTAGCAATAAAGTCCTGGGTAACATAAAGAGTTAGGCCTGAATGATTTGGAGTTATCACAATTTTAGTGTTTTAAATTTTTGTTAATATGCTCTGAAAACATAGGAAGAGAAGATTCAGTCTTTTAAAAAATACTGTATGTTGGCCAGGCATGGTGGCTTATATCTGTAATGCCAGCACTTTGAGAGGCCAAGGCGAGTGGGTCAGCTGAAGTCAAGAGTTCAAGACCAGCCTCACCAACATGGTGAAACACCATCTCTACTAAAAATACAAAAACTAGCCAGGCATGGTGACAGGCGCCTGTAGTCCTAGCTACTCAGGAGGAGACGGGAGAATTGCTTGACCCTGGGAGGCAGAGGTTGCGGTGAGCTGAGAGTGCACCACTGCACTCCAGCCAGTGTGACAGACAGAGACTCTGGCTCAAAAAACCAAACCAAACCAAACCAAACACACACACACACACACACACACACACACACAAAACTGAATGTCAGTATCTCAGGACCTAATTTTGAAGATATATTTTCCTTTTTTTAAAGCCAACTTGATTTGGGCATTAGGAAGAGGAAATATTTTGTTAGTTTTTAAATAAGAAGTTTGACAAAGTTGTCATCAAAATTATTTTAGAAAGAGTTTGAGCCTTCCCTAAACCTGTTCCAGGATTTAGTACTAAAAGTCTCCTAAGTCTAGTAGGACAAGCAAAGTCTCTACTTGTTCAAGTAAATTAGAAATTCTTGCAGAATTCATATGTGGCAAATTACCATATGGGAAATGACAAAAAGAAATGATTCAAGAAACCTAAAAATCCTCCATATACTAGATAAAATGTGTCATACTTTTATCTAGCGTGGCACAGAGTCTTCTAGTGCCAGTCAAGATGGAGCTGCCCCTTTGCTCTTGGTTTCCTCTTAGGACCAGAAGTCCCTGGTCATGACGAAACAAGCCAGCACAGGAAAAGAAGAAGGTGGATTGCCTGGGGACCTTGGGACTTAAGGGACAACATAGGATGAGTTAGCCCCAGTCCCGTAATATGTCTGAAGTGCCAAGGATGTGATCAAAACTCACTTGACAAACAGCAGAACAGGAAAGACACCCTTGAATAAGAGAATGAAATGAGCTTTGCCAACAGCAAGATGAATGAGTTGTTGATTATCGGGCAAAATATGTAGTATGCAGAGAAAATACTTAGACAATAACATCTGAATAATGAGACGGTGAAAGGATCTAAATGGAAGTAGGTTTTCTACACTTCACTCAAAGTGCTAAGCCACTCTGATGACAGTAGACTGTGGTAAGTTGTTGTGTTACTTGCTTGGGCTGCCATAACCAAGTACCACAGACTGGGCGCTTTATTTTCTCACTGTTCTGGAGGCTGGAAGTTCAAGATCATCAGATTTGGTGCCTTCTGAGGTCTCTCTCCTTGGCTCATAGCTGGCTGTTGTCTTCTTATGTCTTCGCGTGGTTTCCCCTGTTTGTTTGTGCCTGTGTTCAAATTTTCTCTTCTTACAATTTTTCTTTTCATATTAGATTAGAACCTACCCTAGTGGCCTCATTTTAACATCATCACCTCTTTAAAGACCCAATTTCCAAATTCAGTGACATTCTAAAGTGCTGGGGGTAGGACTTCAACATTTGAATTTTGAAGGGACACAATTCAGCCCCTACCATTTATGTATTCATATTGTAATATCCAGAGCAACCACAAAGAAAACTGTATAAGTCATATACTAAAAACACTATAAATAAAACAAAAAATCCCATAAAATGTTTAAGAATCCCTGGAAAGATAAGAAAAGAGAAATAGAATGAGAAACAAAGGGGAAGAAAACACAAAAAACACCAGCCATCAATATGAGCAATGAAACCTGGTATATCCCAGTACGGGGCGGAGCAAGATGGCCGAATAGGAACAGCTCCAGTCTCCAACTCCCAGTGCGAGCGACACAGAAGACGGGTGATTTCTGCATTTTCAACTGAGGTACTGGGTTCATCTCACTAGGGAGTGCCGGACAATCGGTGCTGGTCAGCTGCTGCAGCCCGACCAGCGAGAGCTGAAGCAGGGCGAGGCATCGCCTCACCTGGGAAGCGCAAGGGGAAAGGGACTCCCTTTTCCTAGCCAGGGGAAGAGAGACACACAACACCTGGAAAATCGGGTAACTCCCACCCCAATACTGCGCTTTAAGCAAATAGGCACACCAGAAGATTATATCCCACACCTGGCCGGGAGAGTCCCACGCCCACGGAGCCTCCCTCATTGCTAGCACAGCAGTCTGTGATCTAACCGCAAGGCAGCAGCGAGGCTGGGGGAGGGGTGCCCGCCATTGCTGAGGCTTAAGTAGGTAAACAAAGCCGCTGGGAAGCTCGAACTGGGTGGAGCTCACAGCAGCTCAAGGAAACCTGCCTGTCTCTGTAGACTCCACCTCTGGGGACAGGGCACAGATAAACAACAAAAGCAGCAGAAACCTCTGCAGACCTAAATGACTCTGTCTGACAGCTTTGAAGAGAGCAGTGGATCTCCCAACACGGAGGTTGAGATCTGAGAAGGGACAGACTGCCTGCTCATGTGGGTCCCTGACCCCTGAGTAGCCTAACTGGGAGACATCCCCCACTAGGGGCAGTCTGACACCCCACACCTCACAGGGGGGAGTACACCCCTGAGAGGAAGCCTCCAAAGCAAGAATCAGACAGGTACACTCGCTGTTCAGCAATATTCTATCTTCTGCAGCCTCTGCTGCTGACACCCAGGCAAACAGGGTCTGGAGTGGACCTCAAGCAATCTCCAGCAGACCTACAGCTGAGGGTCCTGACTGTTAGAAGGAAAACTATCAAACAGGAAGGACACCTACACCAAAACCCCATCAGTATGTCACCATCATCACCAAAGACCAGAGGCAGATAAAACCACAAAGATGGGGGAAAAGCAGGGCAGAAAAGCTGGAAATTCAAAAAATAAGAGCACAACTCCCCTGGCAAAGGAGCGCAGCTCATCGCCAGCAACGGATCAAAGCTTGACGGAGAATGACTTTGATGAGATGAGAGAAGAAGGCTTTAGTCCATCAAACTTCTCAGAGCTAAAGGAAGAATTACGTACCCAGCGCAAAGAAACTAAAAATCTTGAAAAAAATGTGGAAGAATTGATGGCTAGAGTAATTAATGCAGAGAAGGTCATAAACGAAATGAAAGAGATGAAAACCATGACACGAGAAATACGTGACAAATGCACAAGCTTCAGTAACCGACTCGATCAACTGGAAGAAAGAGTATCAGCGATGGAGGATCAAATGAATGAAATGAAGCGAGAAGAGAAACCAAAAGAAAAAAGAAGAAAAAGAAATGAACAAAGCCTGCAAGAAGTATGGGATTATGTAAAAAGACAAAATCTACGTCTGATTGGGGTGCCTTAAAGTGAGGGGGAAAATGGAACCAAGCTTCAGGATATCATCCAGGAGAACTTCCCCAACCTAGTAGGGCAGGCCAACATTCAAATCCAGGAAATACAGAGAACGCCACAAAGATACTCCTCGAGAAGAGCAGCTCCAAGACACATAATTGTCAGATTCACCAAAGTTGAAATGAAGGAAAAAATCTTAAGGGCAGCCAGAGAGAAAGGTCGGGTTACCCACAAAACACAAAGGGAAGCCCATCAGACTAACAGCAGATCTCTCGGCAGAAACTCTACAAGCCAGAAGAGAGTGGGGGCCAATATTCAACATTCTTAAAGAAAAGAATTTTAAACCCAGAATTTCATATCCAGCCAAACTAAGTTTCATAAGTGAAGGAGAAATAAAATCCTTTACAGATAAGCAAATGCTTAGAGATTTTGTCACCACTAGGCCTGCCTTACAAGAGACCCTGAAGGAAGCACTCAACATGGAAAGGAACAACTGGTACCAGCCATTGCAAAAACATGCCAAAATGTAAAGACCATCGAGGCTAGGAAGAAACTGCATCAACTAACGAGCAAAATAACCAGTTAATATCATAATGAGAGGATCAAGTTCACACATAACAATATTAACCTTAAATGTAAATGGATTAAATGCTCCAATTAAAAGACACAGACTGGCAAACTGGATAAAGAGTCAAGACCCATCAGTCTGCTGTATTCAGGAGACCCATCTCACATGCAGAGACATACATAGACTCAAAATAAAGGGATGGAGGAAGATTTACCAAGCAAATGGAGAACAAAAAAAAGCAGGGGTTGCAATACTAGTCTCTGATAAAACAGACTTTAAACCATCAAAGATCAAAAGAGACAAAGAAGGCCATTACATAATGGAAAAGGGATCAATTCAACAGGAAGAGCTAACTATCCTAAATATATATGCACCCAATACAGGAGCACCCAGATTCATCAAGCAAGTCCTTAGAGACTTACAAAGAGACTTAGACTCCCATACAATAATAATGGGAGACTTCAGCACTCCACTGTCAACATTAGACAGATCAACGAGACAGAAAGTTAACAAGGATATCCAGGAATTGAACTCATCTCTGCAGCAAGCAGACCTAATAGACATCTATAGAACTCTCCACCCCAAATCAACAGAATATACATTCTTCTCAGCACCACATCACACTTATTCCAAAATTGACCACATAATTGGAAGTAAAGCACTCCTCAGCAAATGTACAAGAACAGAAATTATAATAAACTGTCTCTCAGACCACAGTGCAATCAAACTAGAACTCAGGACTAAGAAACTCAATCAAAACCGCTCAACTACATGGAAACTGAACAACCTGCTCCTGAATGACTACTGGGTACATAACGAAATGAAGGCAGAAATAAAGATGTTCTTTGAAACCAATGAGAACAAAGATACAACATACCAGAATCTCTGGTACACATTTAAAGCAGTGTGTAGAAGGAAATTTATAGC